AGGTCAGCATGTGCCATAACTTTAAATAGAACTACTATTTTGTATCAGTCCTTCCTTGGATCCAAGAAAAGGAGAGCTTATAGGACAGTAACTCTGAGAAGAGTTCCTAACAGAACACCACCTCTGAGTTTAGTGTTGAAAATTGTGCCAAAGGACGCAAACATCTCTTATTACAGAAGGTTTGTTTCTCCGTGCAATTATTTTTTTTTAAATGTTAGACAAAAAGATATCAGGTGTTGGGTAATCCGGACAAATAGATCAGTACTGCCTAGGTATCATCGAGGATACTGAAGTTATTTTTCAAACTCAATAAAATATGGGTAAGTTTTCTGTATTAAAAGAAGCAAAAATTAATACTCGTTGGAGCTTTAATTAAAAACATAATTACATTTGACAGCTAAAACAACTGTTTTTTTGGAAAAATAAAACACATTAAAACCTTGCTTGTATACTACAATAAAATTTTACAAAACAAAAACTCAAATAGTTCAAGTACAGCCGGCGTACAACTAAACTAGTTAGAAAATATAACTTAATAGTGATTTGTTTCAAAATATACATCATGTGGAAAAAACCTAGAACCGAGAAACCAAGTAATTACCAGGTTTCAAACAGAGTTTCATCAAAATGAGGTAAATCTATGTCACCAGCCGTTGAGCTTGGTGCTGAAATGGAGAACAGATCCTCAAGGATATCTTCTTCCCTGGGAGGGCTTTCAAAAGCGAGCTTTTTCACACCGGGTTTGCTCACGGCATGGAGTTCGTAGTTACTGTCCTTCACAGGACTGTAATAATTGTGGTCCTCGCTTGTCACTGCTGCTTGTGACCCAGCGGTCTCCTCCGCAGGCAGCGCTGCTGGGCCGCTGCTGTCCACCATTTCCATGTACATGCACTCATCCTCACCTCTCGAAACCTCCGAGGAAGCAACAGTGGAAGTGGGGGACAGCAATTCCGCCAGTATTTCATCATTATTATGGCTAGAGCACCCTGAGGTCACACTGAATTCAGAAGGATTATCTGCAGCATCGATCTGATCCTGCAGTTCCCTCAAGAAGCTCTGCAGCAACTCGCTGTCACTGTGAGGTTCTGCCTGTGACGGGGTGCTCACATCCCCACTTATGGGTTTTCCACGTTTCATCTGCTCCACTGCCAGTCTATCCAGCGAAGCCAACTTCTTTTTCTTAGCATTAAGTTTTTTTAGCAGTTTGAGGCGAAGCTTTCTTGTTTTGTCACTATCCGACTCTTCCACCTTCCCAGCATTATGGCTCGGTGAATGGAATTGAGTTGTTTTACCAGAGGTACTCAGCATATTTCCCGACTTATTCCAAGCTGGGCCTTCAAGAGCAGCACGATTTTTTGCAGGAAGACAAGTGCCTTGAGAAAACCCTCTGAAATTTGATAAAAAATTAGTACCATTGCTCCGAGGAAGTGATGACTTTGGGGCCTCAGTTGCTTTGTTCACGCCTCTGCCCTGAAATCCCCCAAAGTTACTCGCTCTTTTAACTGGCAACGGCATCTCATTTAATTTTTGCACTGAGGGAGTTTTGCAACTTCTCTCAGTCTTTGGAGCTGAGGCACTTGAAGGCATAAAAGAAGTATTCTTGCTTAACATTTTTTTTACCCAGCTTCCAACAAATCCTCTTTTTTGGTCTTTGTGCGAAGGCTGAAAGGAATTATTATCAGCAGAAGAATTTGCAACCTTAGAATGAACTACGGTTTTGCCTGCATCTTTCAGGTCAGGTGATTTTTGCCCAATATTCCCTACTGGTGGCATTTTACGGTTTATCTCTAGTTCTGAATTTAAACCACGTTCTCTGTTAAGTAAATTAGCTCTGTCATCTGTGCTCTGAGCAAGTGATGAATCAGGCGGGTCGGGGTTGTGATTTTGGGGCACAGGAGGGGTGATATTTGCTGGGTTCGACTCTTGTAGGGGTAAGCAAATGCTGGAACTTTCAGGTAGCGTGCACGTGTTGTTCATAGCTAGATCAGTTGCAGCAATCTCACACGGAGTGTTAGGTGAAAGAGCTGACTCCTGCTGTTGCAGCGTGCCCATTTCAACAAGGTTATTCCCCACCATCTGTCCGTTCGACAGTGATTTACACTCCGAGTCAACCTGAAGCTCTTCAAGCATCAGCGTTACAAGATCATCGTGTGCCAGATTTTCTAAGCCATGATGAGTTTCAACCTCAGCTACCTGCTGTGGTTTCTTATCTGGAATTCTCACAGAAGCCTCTTTGTGATGTTCTGCAGGTACTTTGTCTACGGCGTTATCAAAACCACAATGCAACACTGAGGAACTTGACTGTGCATTATTAAGAGGCGAATCTTCAATGTTTTTCCTCTGAGCCTCGAAATTCTGTTCTGACACACGGGATGTTTTCTTCTCCCAGATAACAATATGAATCTCTCCTGGAGGAACTTCAAATCTTTTATGTCTCCTGCAGTATGGACCCTTTAAATCATCGCATTCAAGCCAAGTTCCTGAAAAATAAATAGCAACCACTGTAAAGGCTCATAGACTTTTAAAATTGAAGTCACTATCCTCTGACACTTGTCAAACATTTTTATTAACCCATTCCCCTGACAGGCAGAAAATAATCTTTTTTTTTCTCAATTCTTTATTGCATCAGAAGAAAAACGGGAGGTTTCCACTGCGAAAAGATCACCCACGAGCAGAATTTGCAGCAATATTATTACAGGTCAGTGTAGGTCAACCAAAACACAAAGCTAAGTTTTTTTGTCTGTGCTAACGATGTTGACATCTTGACTGAAAATACCTGCACATGCCTGAGAGAAGAACTACCTCTCAAATTAAGTTTCTCAGTAGATCTTTTCATTGCCTGCGTGGGAAGCAGGGGGGGCTTAAGAGAAACTGCTCATTTTAGGAATCTGCCTCGTCACCTGCAAATTATTCACAGGTCGTGAGCAAATATTTTATAGCTTTAAAAATTAACAAATAGATTTACAGAGCATATACACGATGTATAGGATATTCATAACCAGGTGCTTCCCAGCTGTTTCCTCTATTTCTTCTTAAACTCGGGCAGCAAACGATCTTCATACTGTCAGAACACTTCATAAGACAGCACCTCACTTCCTCTGCACAAGCACGAGGATCAGTATACCGTGCTTACACAGTATTTTTTTTTTTAACTTTTACAAAGTTATGAAAGGAAAAGACTCTACCCAAGTAATTTCTGCCAGTGAGGACAGAACCCTGCTGAACAAGTCAGTTAAACCAAAGTGAAACCTTCACCCCGACTAACAAAGTTCCTACAGGTATTCACAAAATCCTAACATGAAGTTTAGGTTTAGGATACAAAGAAATCCTTGTTATTGGATAGGGACAGTTGAGATTATTCAATAAACCACTATTGAATGTGGAACTCAAAGTATGATACCAGAATTTGTGGTTCTTACCATCAGGATTCAAAGCCCAGGTTATGAAATGCTTCTTATTTGTTTGATACTGAATAACAGATGTTATTTCGTAGAAATCTTTTTCAAACTGAAATGAGTAATTCCTCAGGTTGTTATGTGGCAAGCCTTCCACAAAATGTATCATTAATATTGAGGGTATTCTAATAAGGAGACAATAAAGAAACAGTTTATTACAACAAAATAGTGACAAAAATCCCTCATAGAAAATTACAGCGTTCATCCTTATTAAACACTACTTGTGTTTTCTGTATTTAAGTATTTATCAGAGTTTAAAGTTCTGCATATCTGTAAGCCTAAGGTAACTGTTTGTTTTTGAAAGCAACACTATGTTCAGTAAATGAGGTCTCAGAATTTTATTTTATTTTCAAGTTCACATATTCAAACTTACTTTTCCAAAATCATCCGTCTTCTCTGAGATCTGTCACTGCAATTATTACAGGGAGCAACGTGAACAGCATTAAGTGGATGCCAATCGGGGATTATATTTGTGAATGTTGTTAGTGTTTTCCTACATCTGGAAACACACACACACACAAAAGAAAAAAAAAAGAAAGATGACTTGCTGATCAGAAAACAATGACTATACGTACTTTACAAGGGGAAAAAAGTCAGAAAAATGTTGTGACAAAGACAAATTCTATTCATATGCATGCCATTTGTGTGAATTCCACTGTGACTGCATCGCATCCAAGCGAGCGCTGGATTCAGTTCTGCCAAACACCATCAGTCCCCGTTTGTTCTCAGCAGCTCCGCGACCTTCAGTTGTGCATTATTTGCTCTTTGTCCCTTAGCATGTTATCTCTGCTTCCTTTTCAGCGCAAGACAGAGCTTCCACCAGGATCTGCATAATTTACTAGCTAATACAGAGCTTCAAGGAGAGAAGGAAGCGGTAACAAACTACCTCACAATACATGTGAAACAAGGAGTTATTTTCAAAGGACAGTACATTCAGAGCAAAGATTACATAGAGGTTATACTGTATGGAAACACAACGTATGGGATACGAAGTAAGGTAGCTTCTTCATTCATTAGCCACAGGAAGGAATTCCTCTACATTCATCCTACCCCAGATTTTTCAAGTTTTTAAAAACCACAGTATGTAACAAAAGCTCTTGAACACATCTTATTAACCAGGACTACACATTAGCTGGCTGTCTAACTGATATAATTAGTCCCTTCACATTTGTAGATCTAAAAGCCTATTGTATAAACTTTAGATAATGGAGAGAAACAGGTGTTTTTCAAGTAAAATGAGCTGTCTTCTGAAGGTGCCTCTTCTCTTCTGTTGTCTCTTACAAGGAGCCTAAATGACTAGCTGGCACCTGCAGCCACCCGAATTAAATCAATTCTCAAGAAATTACTTCCTTGTAATAGTATTTTAAAACATATTATGTAAGCAAATCTCTGATTCTTTTGTAATCCACTTTGTCATCCAAGCGAACGTTACAGAAACCCTTCAACAGCAAACGTGTGCCAGGCACACATTCTTTAGAACAGCAACAATCCGTACACCATCAGCAAATGATGAGAGTGAGCATGGCCAGGGCCTTGCAGTTACCTAATATTTCTTTCTTAATTAATAATTAATTAATTAACTCGTTTTCCTAAGACATAATACAATTAAACCAGTTGCAAATGATAGCCTAAAGAATCACATAAAACATCACCAACAAGCTGAAGCTGTTCATAACCTGGAGATGTGAAGAAAAATCACCTAATACATGCAGATTTTAAAAAGTACGGTACAACAGTTACACAGAAGCTGTATATTTATAAACCTCACCGGTCCTGGTGTTTGTAGCCACAACGCATGCATTCAAACTTCCATGAAAATGAATGCAAAAATAGGTTCTCAGCTTGTTGATCCTGTCTTAAGAGCAGAGGGAGTGCAAACAGTGGACTTTCTTCCTCACCTTGAAAGACAGGGCAGAAAAAAGAGCCACTGAGTTTGAAATCAGAAAACAGTACTTCAAGAAGGAAGATAAGCTTACTGCTGCGATTCTAATTTAAGGAATCCCTCTAAGGCTGTACTTGTAATGCTCACGAGCAAAGGCATTGATCCATGTTACCAGGTTGTTCTCAAAGACAGTTTCATGAATGTAGCACAGTTACAAAGATACAAATACACCCTCTAAACTTCACAAGCAGTAAATAACAAATCAGCTAATCACACAGTAAATTATGTGTGTCACAAATTGCAAAATGTATTTGCAAGCTGTCTTGCACGTGTATGTACATACATATTTTTATGTGCTGACATGCTAACAGGCTTTACGTGTAAAGTTTTTCAAAAATAAATACTGAGCTGCTGCACTGACTACTTACCCAATCCACATTTAAGCAGAGGCTGAAGCTGAGTAAAAATTCTGTTTCTGATTTCATTGAGATGTAATTCCGCTTTTGGAAGAACATCTATGGAAAAAAAACACATATGCTTTCATGTATTTATGTGCAACACCTCTACCCTTTCACACATGAGTACCCCTAACATGCACTCCTTCTCCACAAACAGATACCTTTCATATTGATCAAAAACTGCCTAAAACTGTTGGTAAAAATAGACAGCGCTTGGTATTAATTGATTTGAAAATTAGAGAAGAATTTACAAAAGTTATATGTCTTACTGCAGTCTGCTAACCCAAAACAACTCAACCTGACTTAAATTATGGCTAAGAGTGCATACTGATAGCTAGATGGTAAAGACATGTCAGATTAATGCAGCCAAACATTACAAACCCTAGAGGTTTGGAGATTAAGAGTAGATTTTAAAACCTAAAGATCAAAAGCACAAAAATTTGCTTATGTGCTTTGGAATGACATCATACAATTTGTAATAAAGCATTTAAATGTTAAATACTACGTTCCTAAGGCAGCCTTTTCAAAATTTTTGAATTTTGAAATATTTTAAAATGTGTATATCTATATTTGTATGTATTTTAAATTTACAAGTTACAATACTTACGCACGTACACACTATAAGCACAAACAAGAACATAACTTCCACTACACAATCGGGATCATGACTTGCACAAATTAAAGGATTTAGAATAGTTGTGGGAACCATTTCTTATAAATTTTATGTGTATATAAAAAGGTAAAAACAGTTTCTTGCAGCTCTAGTGTTTTTGATTGTTTCAGAAAACAGCCATGTGTAAAAGATACTGAAAAATTAGATAGAAGGACAAAATCAGTACAACACCTATTCTCCATAATAACACTCTTCTTCCAATCCCCTCTCCACTGGTGCCCAAATAAACTAACCTGTTTTGCAGCAATGCCTGGAAAATAAAAGGTTTAAGCTGTCTCAAACACCACCATATCACAGCGTCCTTCCTAAGGCAAGCAAGCTAACATCCCCACAAAGGGCTCTTCCACACCAGAGCTCCTTTGCAAACACAGCAGCAGCACGTCAGAGGGGAAGGAAAAATCTCTCAGGTGGTGTGACAGCAGAGGGCTTCCAGGTAACATCTGAAAACCTAAAAATCAACCTTTCTGGTAAATAGCAAATATGAACTACTACAGGATTTCTTTGGATTTTTTTTCTGCCTCTTCAAAGTACTTTTTTCTCTGCCACACGGTGGATTAAACCTTTTTTTGATATGCCCACTGTCCTTTCCAGGAAACATACGATATTCTTTAAGTTGTCAATGCTGTTTTAGGACTACAGTCTATATATTCCAGCATACATTTTTGCTGGAATGCCTACTGAAAACAATTTATAAACGGTACTGGCTAGCCAAAGATCTGCAGTAATTCTCTAAAGGCTGATCTCTTAGAAGTTCAGACTTGCGACTCCAATGGGTCCAATCAAACGGACTAGGAAAAATAAATCTTAATGTAAGAGCCTCAAACTGGATTGACAGTACAGAAAATGATCAAAGGCCATCCTAATAGATTACAGTGACACATCCTCCTCTAATTCCAGCTGTGCTGCATAAGAGGTTGCCCTCAGCTGCTCATCGTGGCCTCTGTGCTTGGAGGTTACAGCCCTTGAATCTGTTAAGCTGCACATGTGAGTATTTACTAAAACTTTCCAGACAACATAAACCAGGTTAATCCACAACCAAAATGATCCAAAATGAAGATAAAGACTTAAACAGCATTGCAATAGTTAACCAACATAAGGGGAAGGATAAAAAGTGTGGCTCAACCATTTAATTCACAAATTCTCTACTTGTTATCATGAAAATTGTCATGGATACTTAGTATTTGATGTCTGCTTTCAAAGAGGGCACCTTTACCCCAAGCTAAGCAATTGCAGAGGTCACTGGGAATCTGCTAGATAAAGCACGCAACTCTGCAAATTCATGGTACTGAGCTGGATCTCATTCTTCTATGATCTTGAAATAGAAAGGAGGCCTATTTAAGTGCACTGTACTAAATTCCAAATATATACTTTAGACCAGATCAGTTTGCATATGAAAAAACAGCAGCTGCATTTACTCACCTTTTAATTTACTCCTTTTACAGGTATTCAGAAGCACAGTTGCTTGATTATATTTTGTTAAGAGTCTCTGGAGTAAACATTTTTCATCATCACATTCTTCTGCCAGAGCACATTTTAATGTCTTTAAGTGTACCAACGCTGACAAAACACAATCCAACCAACAAAGATTATGTCTGTTTCTCCACTGCAGACATAAATCCGTGTTATTCGTGGAACCTTTATCACTTCTGAGCGACATTTCAGACGTTGTCGTGCAGTGTTCAGAATTTGGCAAGAGTTGTTTTCTGGGACTAGGAGTCTTAGGCAGATTTTCTTGATGGCTGTCGGTGTTGGGGGTTGTTTCAAAACCCACATTCTGCTTGAAGGACTCCCCATTGCTAGGATTTTGCTGGTCATTTTGTAACACATCATGTGCACTTAACTTGGGGATAGGTAAGCCGTTCGCACAGTTTTTGACAACAGGGTCCGTATTAACAGGCTGCTCAACATTTACCACATTATTAGTCCTGCCTCGTTTCGGTTTTGATTCAACTGGGAGAAAAGTCACTGATATCACACAATTTCCTTTTCTTATCAGTAGATGGAACTTGGTGATTTTCTGAATCGGCAGAAATAATGATGCTGTTAAACGGTTTATAACCAAGTGGGTAGATACACTAAAGGGAAGGAAGAAAGTTAGAATGAGATCTACAATGCAATTTCAGGTGAACAAGAGCTAAAAAAAACGTACAAACCATATTCTCAGAATGGAATGTAGGACTTGTGTGAAGTGATATTTTAATGAAATCAGTACGTAAATTCAACATACGTAAGGCAGACAGAGAATTTCATCCAACTACTATCTTATAAGCAATTGTGAATTATATCTATCAGTAGTAACAATCAACGTTGCTTTTCCAATAAAATCCAAACTCTCCACTTCCAGCCCCAGAAGGACACCCTAATTCTGCTAAGGAGAGCCCTCTTCTCTCACTCTGCAAAGTCCATTCCTTCAGGGTACAAATTTGGCACCAAGGTATCTTTCAGTTCAGCCCAATGCACTAGACCACATGGTGTTAGGGTCTGACAAACGTGGCTGTTCTGCAACTGGGAGAACGCAGTCAAATCCCCATCTCTGAAGGTGTAAAGCCTTATGGCAAAGGCCTCAACACAAGCCAACAGAACTGGTGATCAGTGTAATACCTGAGGATTCTCACAAAGAAAAATGGACTCTTGAAAATTGATGCGGTAAGTGCGTAAAGTTTGGATCTCGCCCTTGGCTTTGCAGACTGGACAATATTCAGACGAACTTATCTCCACAGAATTACAGCTCTAAAAAAAAATAAAAAAATTAAAAAAATAGCTGAAAAACTTGCTCTTTATATATTATCCCAAGTTAAGACATACATCCATACCAAGATAGAAAAGCAATGTGTAACTTCTAAGCACGTAACACCCAACAGAGTATAAAAAACTCAACTAGATTAGGTTTTGTCCTTATTTATAAGATACATATTCATAGGGTAGAATGATCTTTGTGAATTTATCTTTTTACTTAAGCATTCAAATATTTAGCAAGGCATCTTTAACAACACAATTTTGCAACATTTCATTCTAGTTATGCTAAACCAAAGGACACTTATTGCCAGGGAACACAAGCTCAGATCTTTGAACTATGAATAAGTTCTCATAGGAATGCACAGTCATAAAAGTAGTGCTCATATTACGTTCATAGACATAGATCTGGTTATAATAATCTTTCGCCATTGTTATAGATTTCCGTGGAAAATAATGTGGAGATTTATTTTGTCTTTTTTGTAAAATTAAGACCAATTAAAAATCTCTCAAAGCAGAGAAAAATATGAACTTTGCACACATGTAAAATAAGTTTCAACTGACTTTTCCCAAATACCCCACCATGTGGAGTGTCGATTTCCCTATACCAGTCCCTTCTCCAATCACTTGCAAACCATTTGTAGTCTTCTGGGTATCCATCACTCTGAGCCACTGGCTAATTTATGTCACTTGTAACAATGTCATGACCACTAAGGATTTTTTCAAAGACTCCTGAAAAATAAGAAGCGAATACAACAATTAAAGAAAAATTCAGTTAAATTTTGGAGAAAAAAAAATATACCAGCAATAACGCAGCCCATATTACCTGTGAGAATGAATTCAGAAAAGTATTTTCTCAATGGAAAATACTTATTTTCTAGCGCATATTGAACTCAAAACTTTAATTTAAGTCACACACCAGATTTAACAGCTTTAGGCCCTGAATTTACAAACTTATCTATTCTTTGCACCCTCAAGGTCTCATTTATTTTCCAAGTGCACTATACTTTGCAGAAATGTAGACATCTTGCCCAGGCATCTCAACTTACTGTATCTAACCCTCAGAATTAAGGAATTTCTTTAAAAATGGCTACAATGAGCTCTCACTCTGTTATAGACAGAGGAATAAAACAAACCTAAAAGCCCAAAAAACACTTCAGCGGCTTTCAAAACCGTGACTTTAATGCATAATAAACTATAAAAAGTTTATCCTGTTCTGTTATTTTAATGATGTTATAGACATCCTAGCAAACTAAAGTTCTTCTGCAGTATCATTGCTACATAAATCTATTGCATATTTTACAAATAACATCACAGAGTGAATTTCGTATGATTTCTGGAATTCAGGGCCAAATTTTGCCTTTCTCACATGTCACACACACACACACTTATGGTGGAAGAGTTCAGTAAAAACAAGCTAGACGCATCAGAAAGCAGCTCCTTAAGCCCTTGTAAACCCATTCCTTCGCTGGCACTGAAGCTAACTACATCTTGAACCAGCCAGAAAAGGAATTTAAACCTCCAGGAACCGATTCTTCTGTTCCTGCTGACTTCAAAGGGAAAAATAAATAGAATATATATATACATTTCTGATTCAGAAGGACGTTACGGCAAATTGAATAGCGAAGTCATCAAGGTTAATATCTTCCTTTGAGCCATGACTGTTTCTTGTTCATTACTTCCACTGACCAACAACCTTCCCCACAGCATGATGCCCCTTCAACACTTCTTTACCCTACAGAACTCAGATTGCAGTTCCTTTTGAGAAAAGGCATTCTTGGAGACCTGCACGAATACCAGTTCAACCAAAATCATCCCTAATACCGGGCAAAGGAGACCCTACAGAACTGGACAGATTGCTAAAAATCAACAGTATTAATAAATTTTAAGAAGTGCAGCCTGTAGAATGTAACAACTCTTTTCCAATCAATCCCCTATGACCACTTGAGAGGGTCAAAACAAGATGCTGGTGTATCCTGCTGACAATTTCGAGGTGCTCAGCAGCACTTTTCAGAATTAACCAGGCTGCAGCACAGTATAAACTGACTTATAAAACTAATGGCTTCAACAAAAGGTGAGAAAGTATCAAACCATGTGTGCCTTAGAGATTATGTTTAGTTTTCAAAGTAGGGTGAAAATGTACAAGCAACATGGTCCCAAGCTCACTCAAGGTAAAACTTAATAGATTAGCTAAAAGTATGTAAGTGTATTAGACTACAAAGAAAAGCCAAGCTCTCCAACTTCTGACATGGCAGCAATGGCATGATGACACTGTGCCTCACCTATTACTCCTTGTCTAGCTAGGACTTCGTTTTTTTACACAATTAATGAAGTTGCACAGGTATCAGTCCTACTAAGACACACAGCAACTTCATGCTCCAAACTATAGCTAATAGGAAAACGTCTCTAACTTTTTCCAGAGGGCTTTTATACAACTCCTTGGCCTGAAGCAGTGTCAGGCCTCTAAAATAAACAAAATATGTAGATGACATGACTGGAACCCTAAGCAATTTCTCACCACATAAACACAAATCATCTTGACGTGCTCTGTATGTTGTTACTTCTGCTCTTCTTTTTTAAAGCTTAAATACTGTTTTGAGATGTACGGTGCCTCCTTGGGTGACATGGGTAGTAGGGGGATGGTTGGACCAGATGATCTTGAAGGTCTTTTCCAACCTTAATGATTCTGTGATTCTATGAATCACCCAGCAGTAGCGCTACAGTGCATTTATTGCCCTTCTGAATGTAATAAACATTAACAAAATCGTCATTTTTTTTTTCATACATCAACCACCAGTGAATAAAATCGATCTGCCAGCCCAAGATGCACAGAATGGGTCCATGGGGTGTGCCTGTACATCAGCACATGTAAAGTTACAGCAAGCTACTAGCAGCCGCTGCACAAAGTACAAAACCTGCACATCAGATCTGCAGCTGCCATGAAAAATTGCCACCCAAAAGCCTGCTGGATGAAGGACTGACACAACCCGTTGTAGTAATGTGTAATATCTGCATTACAGATAGAAGTGTGCTTTCAAGCTTACTGGGTCATGCTTTAAAACATTTACACTACTTTTCTTATTTAAAAAACATAATGCAAAATGTGCTGCAGACCTGGTATAATTATTGGGCTGCTTACGGTTCCCTGGGTAGCTAAGTTGATCTAACGGCTCACTGCTGCATGATAGGGATGTTTTTCCTCTCTTTCCTCCTCTTTCCCACTCCCACACCATCCCTGGCAGCTCACATCCTCACTGGGCTTTCCACGAGCTAACTGAACACACAAAACAGCAGGAAGCTCAGTAAAACACAGCAGCTTTTTCTGCTATTTTTAATCAGTTAAATCGGCCTATGAGAAGGTCTGATGAGCTCTGGAGGGAAGAAGACAGAAAACATGGAAAGTGTCAAGGACTTCTACACTAAAAGGGACCTTGGCTTGTTGATAAGAGGAGCTATGCCTTGTGGCACAGTAAAAACAAAAATCATCTACAAGCTGCAGGTGTCAGAACAGTGATCACATTTCAGTGAAGAGAAAATCTTTCTGCCTAAAGGTGAAAGGGACACTAAGAAGGAAGCCCTTGTAAATCACCTCAAAAATCTTCATTCCTTCATCAAGGGAATATTGATGGGAAAGGATGGAAAGAAACAAACTAAGGTCTGAGGAAAAAAAGTCATGCAAGTTTATATTCCCTGTGTTATACATGTGTTCTTTACATGTCTTTTTTTTTTTTTTTAAATCTGAAACTAAACAACAAACTAAAGATAAAAACAGTGATGTTGGAGAGTAAAGCAGCTTGCAATGTGATTGCTGTCCTAAGGGATCTGGACCTCTCTGAAATGTCCTGAGGTAAATGCTTGGATGCGTGTATAACAAGGGGACAAGGATTAAGCATTTTATTGCCATGTCATCGAGCACTTGTGAAAAAAAGGAGAGTTAGGTGTCAAAAATAGAGCCTGAACTGGTGCAGTTTATGCCAGTAAGAGATGCAAGGTCTCAGGAAGGGGCTTGGTGCAGGCAGAGCCCCAGCCTGGGGGCCAGGGGGGTCAGGGCTCCAGCTGGAGCTGGCTGCTGCCCTTCGACACTAAGAGGCATCCAGGTGCTTCAGATAAAGCTACGGTTAAACAACCTCCTTAGTTTTTAGTCCACATCCAGTGTGCTCCACACTACGGCACGGCTGCAGAGGGAAGAACACACGGTTAATGGTCAGAGCACAGGCAAGGAGCACATGGGGCACGTGCGTGCGTAGACACACCGGTCCCTCACCCTGAGGGGGCCTTTTCCCCGGCAGTGCTTCCAGCCAGCGCTCCCTGAGGGCACACACACCATAAACCCACGGCTACTGACGAGAAATACTCAGTCGGCATTCAGCACCGCGCCCGCTCCACCGCCACCTCCCGCACAGCCCAGCCGAGCCGGGACAGGGCTGGACGCCGCACTACTCACCCGATAAAGGGCTCTCGGCGTCTCCCCTCGCTTCTTTCGCTTCCCCGGGCTCCCCGAGCCCCCTCAGCGGGCTGCCCTAGGCGGGTTGGGGCCGTCCTCCATCGGGTTCCTGCCGCCTCACGCCGCCCGCCTCAGCCGCGCAGCTTCCGGCGCCTCCCCGCCGCCATGTCGGGAGCCTGCGCGCTGCGGGCTGGGGGGGCGAGGGGGGCTGAGGCGTCTCCTCCTCCTCCTTCTTTCTCCTCCTCCTCCTCTTTTCCCTTGGTGGCGAAGGGCTCAGCTCGCTGAGGTGGCCGAGAGAGGGCTTCTCCTGGCCGGCCGTGGAGGTTGGGTGTGTGGGAGACGAGGCTGGGATGGCTGGGTGCGTGATGCATCCATGCAAACCCCTCGGTCAGGGTTTGAAAAGAAAAAAAAAAAAAAAAAAAGCATTTGGTGTTGTACGCTGTACATCGTGAAATTCATAGTCTGTTGGCTTCGTGGTAACGTCTGTAAGCTGGTTTTTGCTGTCTGAGCGCTTCCTTCTCTTTGCGTAGCGGTGGTTTGAAGTTTGATGTTTTTGGGGTGTCTTTGCTGGAGGGAGCTGTTTGCCTGGCTGGAGACTGATTGCAATGACATTTGGTAATAATTTTGCGAGGAGTACTTTTTAACCTTGTCTTTTGAGCCATTAGTATCATTGGTTTCATTGTGGAGGATCTACTTCTTTTCCCCAGGAGCATAAAGCGCTTTGGGGTATGTTTAATAGGGGGGAGCTGGCCCTACAGCCATCGAGGCCAGTGCTCCTACACACGGCACATCAGGCACGGCGTGTGTGTTTCATCTCTTTCAGTTGTTTTAGTTGAATGTTAAGGCTGGTCAAATAATGCAATATGTTGAATAATGTCATGGTGTAACTTAACTGGAGCTGTATGCATGCAGTGATTTTCCTCGTGGCATTTTAGGGTACTGTACATTGTGGTTTCAGCACTGGTAACGTTTACTTAAGGTCAAAATACAATGTTTGGATGTATGAAAATTACTATATGTTCTGTATATTAATTTCAATAATAAATTTTAGCTTGTTTTTACTTTTGCCAGGGTGACTAGAGCCCCCTGTTTTGTTTTGGGCTTCCATCAAACATGAGTGTGTGCTGCCTAACATCATGGGGTAAAAGCTGTTTGCTTGTGTGGATTTGAGCTCTCGAATGATTAAGCAGGCTTCTTCCCTGCTTGTTAGTGTGGACTGACTTTGAAAAAGCCCTGCTATAGATTGTAATTGTCTGATCAGTTGGAATTTGTGACTTGATGCTGGTAAGATGTTAAGATCAGCTAATGCCTCGTTTTTCTGCTTTGGTTTGGTTTGGTTTTGTCCTCAGCTGTTTTGGTAAGTTAATGCATGTCTCAGGTATTTTCTGTATCTTGGGAAGTGCCACAGAATAATTTGCTGGTGTTTCTCCCTGATGTGCAGGTTGAATAAAGGCAGGCTTGGGCCAGAGAAAGAGTCCAGACCTGAGTTTATGTATGTGAAGAGGGAGTTTCCCATGACCTTGAGGAAGAGTTTACATCTTGGCAAAGAAAAGAAACATCTCACAATACAGTAAATCTTCATTCAGTCTGAACAAAACAGCACAAAAGTAATAGTTATTACATGATGCAAACTCCAGAGTCACCAGGAATTGGTTTGGATGTTCCAGATGTGGGCTGGAAGGCTTTAGGATCTAGTCGGGCTTGTGATTTGTTCAAATGTTGTTTCCTCTGACATGGTTTGGCTTGACTAAACTTAGTCTAGTTTTAGTTAACAAACTGTATGAGCACTTGATTTGTTTCTGGTTTTATTGACTTATGCCTTCATCTCCTTAAACTGGCTATAGTTCACATGGGAAGAGTAGAAGGGGTTTCTGATAGGATTTTTGAAGCTGCTTGGGTTCAGGCAGGTGTGCTAGCTATCTGATTTAACTTTTGTGTCAGTGTCCTCTCTTTGCAGTCTTTTCAAACATAATCTACCCACTTTGTAATTATATCTGCAGTAAAGACTTTAAAACAGCGTAAGAATTCATTTTCATTTATTATATTTCTAAAAGGCATGTGTGGAATGGGCTCTTTCCATGACTGAAGCCTCCTCAACGTGGGAATTGAGCATGCAATGTAACAGGAAGAAAACTTCCGTTCCTTTTTTTTTTGTTAGTCTATTCAGATATGGAGGAGAAAATTGAGTTATATAGAGGCTTTTTTTACACCCCATCCTAAGGAGAGCTCAAAAAATGAGCGGTGCTAAGGCTTGATAAATATGTTGTTTTCAAATCTGTACCAGGAATCATTACCTGGAAAATAATTATGAATGTTGGGGAAATAATATTCTGGGTATATAGATAGTAGACTGTACTCAGGCTGAGAACATATGCCGTTCATGTGTGTCTTCTAAAAATATTTTCACATGCAAATTACATACCCGTTGGCTGCTTGCTTCTAACCAGATTGTCACTGCATGGCTGATGGTTCCCGAGAAATCAAATACGGAGTGGGAGGTACCAACTGAAAATCTTTGCTTTGAACGTTTTGTTTTTCAGGGTTTGTGTTTGCTTGTTTTTTTCTTCTTATTCCAAAAACTAACAAAATTAAAATTTAGAGGTACAAAGTACCTTTTTGAAAATGTAAGAAGAATCCAATAACTAATTAACTATCTGTATACCTCTTTTTTTTTTCCTGTTTAATGCTTAAATACATCAGTAATGTTATGTTAACATTATAACAGGAAAGTTTACAGTCATAATCTCAGTTTTGGTAGGTTTTGTGTATATAAAATCCAGATTTCTGTGATTGTAAACCTTACTGCATTTCATAACTAACTTTAAGTCCACAAACTGGATTATTTTATTACTACTGACGTTACTGATGCTGATAGGTACTTGCAGTATCCCTTGGCCTTTGCATCCTAGGATTTCAACCAAAGAAAAGGAGGTCTTTTTTGAGATGAGGGTTTTAAAATCACTAGCCAAAACATGCACTTGGTTCTTTTTTAGCTGCTGACCTATTTAAATCCTTTTTTTTTTTTTTTTCCTGGAGTAAATACCTCTTGTAAGACATTTTTATGGCTATTTTGCTCCTGAACTTTTGAAAATAAATGCTACGTTTACCCTACTGTAGTATCTATAACCTTGACAAAGGAAGAGAAATCAATTCACTGCTCTGAGGTAAAGGTTTTGTTTGTTTCCCTGACTCTTAAGGGTGGTTCTTATTTTGTCATCCTTAACAGGAGCATCTTCTTGCTCTGTAACAGAGGTGGAAACTGTTATAAACGGAACACTTTAAGCTTGATGCAATGTTCTTGGTAATCGTGGCAAAGATTTCCATTTGGGAATTTCAGCTGCTCTTCAAAATATTTTTTTCTTACATTTTATTCTGCTCTTTGAGTTATTTTACCTCCCTGTCCTACAGCTTGTATCTCTCTGACTCCAATCCAACAGGGAACAGTAGTCAAAACTTAGCAGGTTTTGGATTTTTAGAAATGAATTGCTCTCAGGAATATGTCTACTGGGAAAGCATCACTGATGCAATGCAGTTTTGACAGTGTGAAACCAGGGATGTTTTTTCTGACCATGGTCACTGTGTTTGTGTCCTCAGGACTCCTCCAGTACAGTTTGGGTATGTTCCTGTGGCATCATGGTGTTATGCTGTAAGTCGGCATAAGTTTTAGTGCTGATGGGAGAGATTGACTTGGACCCAACATGAGGTGATACAACAGCAGCACAGCAAAATTCAGGGTTTTGTAAGTGCCAAGATCGTTCTTTGTCAGCTGTTTATAACAGCAAGGACTTTAAAAAGTCACCTGGAGGCCTGGAGGTGCATTGGTTAAGACAGAAAAATAAAAAAGATCAGGGCAAGCAAAGTGTTTTGAAATTAAGTGAAAAAAATCATGGTTAATTCTTCATGCCCAGATAAGATGTGCTGGTTTCTGGTCTCATGATATTTTTGTATGTGTGTTTTTGTTTGTTTTACTGATGTTGGTCTCTAAAGGTTGATTTTACTTGAGTCTCCCTTTTCCCTTTGTTTTGGCTTTGTACTGGTTTTCTCTTCTGCTGCATGGAAGTCTGAGACTTCTAAGGTGTGATTTCTTTTTTCTTAGCTTTGCTTGTAGTTTGAAATGATTGACTCGTGGCGGAGTTCAAAGCCATTTATATTGGTAAGGTGACTCATGAGTTTTGAGAGCAGCACCTTTCAGCAGTAGCATCTGAAGGTGGTGTTTTGCAGGACTCAGGAAAATCAGGATGATGCTGGTTTGTGCTGCTTCTCTTTTCTGTGGTTTTATAACAGGAAAATAAAATTACACCTATGCAAACGTACAATGTTGAATCTAACATATGACACTTTAAAAAAGGATCTAGTTACTTCATTCGGATTTCAAAATTACTTTGGAAGTTGCCTGCTTCGTTTTCTTGAAAACAAGCAATAATCAAACACATTAATAAAAGATGAACCCATATGAGTTTTGGAAAGCTTCTACGTATCCTGCCTGCAGAACAGTTTAGATGTTAGTGGAATGAAGAATATTAAATAATGTGCTGGCTAAGAGATGAACCAGATCTTATTACAGTCTGTAACTTGCTCCAAGACACTTTAAAAAAAAAAGAAAAAAAAGTATTCTAGTTTCTGTTACTTTCAAGATTTTCAACTTCTGATACTTAGAGGAGTATGAGAGGTCTTGAGAAAGGAAGAGGAGCAATGATAAATTTCGTGAACGTTTTAAAAGTGTGAACTCATTCATTCTTGCTTATCTAGTTAAACGTGTACTGACATATTGTTACCTGTCCATCACGGACTTTTCCCTCCAGTCTCTTATATACTCGAGCTAAAACTTAAGAGGACAGTGCCAAACATTATTTCTTAGTCCTCATACTTAAA